TTAAATGGTTTTCTTTACAGCAAAATATTCTTTTGACTTTTGTTTTAGATTACGTCATTTGGCTCCTATCTGTTGTCCTGCCCAGCACACTGGAGAGGTTTGGTACATCATCAAAGGAGGGTGAAGGGCAGAGACGGTCAGTTTAGGAGAGATAACAGCGTGAGGCACGAGATGAGAGGGATTATCATTTCCTCTTTTCAGATCTAAAAATAACCGCTGCTGGCTACAAAACAGATTAGATAAATATGTTTTGCTCCAGAATGGCATAGATTCAAACTTGTTCATATGGTTTTATTGATTAATTTAGGAAACAGTGCAGAGTTTTGTCCCCTCTGTTTATTCAATTTGCTTATTTCTATGACATTTTGCATTTTTAGGATGAGCAGACTTGTTGTTCTGTGCTGTGCATGTGCTGCATGCATGTGGTGTTCTGGTATGGGATATTGACAGTTGCCTTGGTGACTGAACTGACTTTTTTTTCTTTTTTTTTTAAAACACTGATGCATTACTATGGCAACAGCATGGGTATTTTTAGCCCTTCTAAACCACAAAATGCAGGGGTGCCGTTGCTCATACAAAAATATTCGCTTAACCTGAGTCACTGACACCTGGCATTTAAGCTAATGTCAGGCTGAGGAGTCAAATAAAACTTGGCCTGACAGCTTGTTTTTATTTTCACCGGATTGCTTCATTTTCTTTAAATCTCACACAAAAAAACATGACAGTGTAACACTTGGAGATTCTTGGTAAATGTGATCAGATTTAAGGTAATTGGATCTAAACAGGAGTTTCACAATGTCCTGAAAGATCTAATAAAGCCTAACTGACCTGAATAGGATACAGGAAAGCAGAAGTTATTATGTAAGAGCTGGTGTGATTAATCTTACTCTGTTAATGCATGAATGCAGCTCTTTTTGCTTACGTGTAGGTAAACATGCAGGTGTTTGTGAGGCCTGCAGTGCACACATGGTGGTGACTGACACGGTGTTACAGTTTTCATAGCTCAAAGGTTAGGAAAATTGTTATCTGATTGTTTGTCACTCCGGCCACCTCTGTCAGCATTACTTTAAAAGGTATTCTGTTGCAGGACATTGTCTCGTGCTGTTAAAAAAAAAGGAAAAGAAAAAAGAAGAAGTCACATCTCAGTGAAATTAAGCACTGAAATAGAATTTAAAACTGCAGCAAAGCACATGCACTTTCATTCTCCCTGCAGCAACAACAGACAAGTGTGTGTTTGAGCTTAAAATAACCCAGACAGGAGCAGAAAAGCAGAAGGAATCTTGAAGCAGTCCGGAAATGGTCTCAACCACGGATGTACAACCTAATGTTTGAACAGCGGTATTATTGACCTATGTGCCGTATTCAAAGATGAGAAATGTATTAAGGTGAAATATGTTCTGGAAAAGCAAGATTTCTTTTGATACTTTGAGCACTGTTTTATCAGAGAGAGGATGACTAATCCCAATTTAGACATGAAGGGCATAATTTGATTAATGTGAGTACAAATAATCAGGGCAGCCTTCAGGGGAACCAGAGACAGTGCAGCATTATACTGAGAGAAACTAACGGGAATCAGAACAAAAGACTGAAATTTTAGATGAAGAGTAGCACGGCACTACCACCAACTCATGTGTGAAGAGAGAGTTTGACTGTGAAAATGGAACCAGGCTCTCCATAACAATCTATATCTAGACAGTCACTCGGAAACCATGTTGGAAATTCTCCGGGGACCTGAAGGTAAACCACACTCTTGTTTCTTGAGTTGCAGTAAAGTAGGCCTGCCTGGACAGACATTGTGGGATCTGTCATTCTAAATAACTATGCTGTGAGGTAATTACGGAACACTGAGGAGATCATAAAAAGAAGAGGTGAATACCTGGCATAAATGTTTTGCTCTTAGTCAGCAACAAGGCTGATACTCCAGGTAGAGTCAAAGGAAATATTAAAAGGGAAAAGTAGATCATTTACGTGGAACATGATGCCAAACAAGTAACTGTTTAAATATTGAATAACTGGAGATGGGAGAACGAATGTTCTTCTTGTTGTTTCCAAATGTAATTTCCACACACACACTACGTCATATGTTCAAAGACGATGATGTCACAGCGTGTTATATAACCGCTCTTGAACCATGTTCAGAAGATCAATCAGATAACACGCGGCCACCGGTAGGATTAAAATCACAGTTAATTGGAATTTTATAACACAGTAAACCTGAACGTGCTGTGCTGTTCTTACAGCTGCTGTCCCATTTTCATATCAGGCCGGTTGTGTCTCACTTAAGTGTGACGCTTTATCACATCTTTAACCTTTGTCCTTGAGCGGTTAATGAAAGTCAGCTGACATGCATTACTTTGACCAACTGATTTCTATATCTATAGATAGATAGATAGATAGATAGATAGATAGATAGATAGATAGATAGATAGATAGATAGACTGGCTGCACTTATGCAAGACTGCAAAATGTCCTCTGCTTTCTCTGAATGCTCGGGTCAAAGGTCATAGTAGTGGGTACATTGAGGTGCTGTGAGATAAAACAGTACAACATCTCTATATCTCCTCTGGACAGCAGCAAATGGGACTGGGATTGTGTAACACTTCAGCAGTGTAATGGACTGTTTTGTCTCATTTGTCACCAGCTGCCACCAGGAGTTGTGTCAACGGCTGTTCAAAAATATATTTATATCACTGAATTCACAGTCTGCTGTCTGGTGAATCACGCCACACTGTTTGTTTGTTTTGTATACAGACGGGTTACAAACTGAGGAAAATTTAACATAAATTGGACAACCAATGTATCAGGCCACTTTTAGAACAACTTCAATACTAGCTGACATCGGTGTTTGTCAAGTTTCTCACTGTTCTTCAACACAAATTCTCTCATTTGGTGTTTTGATGATAGTATTGCAGGCGTTGTAGGCCCAGTCACAGTGGCCTTTATAACACATCAAAACTGATATGTGGTGACCTTCACTTCTAAGGTGGCCAAAGGATCCAAACCATACCAGAAATACACACCCTCTCACATAAAAGAGCCAGCGGAGCCTCCTGCTATAGGGGTCAAGCTTTCAAGCCTATCTCACACAACTACATGCATAGTTTTCCTTTAATTGTTAGATAAATAGACAGTTAAATTTCATCAACCATATGTAGTTCACTTCGACACAAGCTCAGAGAAGCTGTGAAATGAGTGCTGTGATGAGTAATGTCTGTGGCGCTGACAGATCTGACTACCTATAGGCCTGATTTATCAACATGTAACTATAGTTGTCAGACCCATATGCAAAGTCATCCACTGAAAAGATAAAGTTTCTAAGGCGTTTATATAACAGAGAGTAGCCCGAGCATGTGAGGGTGTGATGTACATGAAGGAATGAATCCTGTTTTTGTGCTGTACCGTAGAAAAACTCTTTTCTGAGCCGGTCAAAAGAACTGAAAAAAGAAAAAATATCACAGGCGCATTACAGCAACGGCACACTCAGTTTCCCCGAAGCAACCACGCTGAAGTCTATGAGTATGTGAGCTTAAAATAGCCCAGACAGGACAAGACAGGCAGCGAGAGCAATGAGCGTACAGTTCATAGTCTGGATTAATCTGGATTAAGCTTGATGACTACAGTCCCGTTAAGGACGGTTAACTCCTACGGGGTTACGTTGTGACTTGTCATTACAGTTACCACATTCTCATGAATTGTTTTGGTTCTCTGCCGGTTAAAACACGGCTATATTAATCCTCTTCCCATACATTTTCCATTTCATACATGCCGTGACACCAGCGTCTTTTCCTGAAATAATTGGTGCGCCCACAGATGGATTATAATGAGTCAGTGTCTGTGAGTGGAGGAGGTGAAGGCAGGAGGTTTCAGTGAAAAGTCCCACTCACTTTGTAACGCTCTCATTCATCCGCAGCACGATATCTTAAAATTACTATAATTAGGAATATAGAAATGAACACTTACTGTAACTTTCATGTCATATTGGTTCGTTGATTCTCCTGAGAGAAATTTTCAGAAGAATATCCTAATTTTTACAAGACAATATAGATTCTTCATTGTGTATCGTGGCATTTTGAGTGACATTTTATGAAGATTGTATCTATACCGCCAAGATAAATTATAGTACTGTGTTTACTGTCTTATGTGAGTGCTGTTAAACTGTTGTATCTACAAGACGTTTAGCTATTGTCTCATATTCTCTGTTCTTGTGCATTATCATCAAAAAACAGCTGGTCTTTTTAGACACTTTTCAGCTCATCTTGTTTAAACAAGAGCCTACACATCACGGCAGGGTTCACTTGGCTGTCGTGTGTTTACATTAAGAGCAAAGATGTCAGGGAACCTTTAAACAGGTTACATAAGACATCGAGGCTGGACTGACCACAGCTGTTACAGTGAGATTAAGAGGACGGCAAAAGCAAAAACAACAAACCCCTCCCCATCCTGCTGCTCTGGGATTTAAAGGTGCTATTATTTACAAAGCTTTATGGCCAACTTGGACATCCCACGTTGCTTTTTTTTCTCTAACCCTCTGGGGCTCCTTTCACTCTCTCTATAGAATGAGAGGGATTAAAGCTATCTGTTGACAGTAACACCAGTCTTAACCCTCCAGCACTGACGCACCAAACTCAAATATCTCATAACAGCAACTACTGGATGGATTTTCTACACTGTAAATCATTTTAAGTTTATTTAAGTTAACTGCTCTTAACTACACTTTAAACTACAAAAAAAACCAAACTGGAAATGCATCTGTTTATATTAAGTAAACTAGAAAAGATAAGTAGATTTAATTAAATTATTTTACAATGTTTAACAGTATGCAGACTGTCATGATTTGCATTCTATACATCCTACTGACTTTACTGATCCCTGAATTTTCCACTTGTGCAACCACAAGATTGACATTTGTGTGTTTTGATGAAATATCTCAATAACTATTGTATGGATTAGCGTGGGATTCAGTGTAGATGTTTCTGTCCTAGCT